AAAAAAAAAAAAAAAACAGATACGAAAACAACATTCTTTAGTCTTGATATAGGTTACCATGAAGCAAAGCAAGACTGCAAAAGGAAGTCAGTAGTTATCAACTCAAAAACATAGATAGCTCAAAAGGGCAAGTTGGGAAAAAACTGTATATTTGGCAATGGTACAATAACCTCTACAGATAACCACGGCAGTGGGACATAAAACTTGCAACATTTCAACTGATTGTTGTATTGGTACACACTACAGTTTTCCATTTTAACTAATCAATCAGTTAATTAAGGAAAAAGATGGCATTGTTCATAATTTTTTGTTTTATGGTTTTGGGGGAGGGCAGTAGGGGAGATTCGGGTAAGAAGAATGTAACTTAAGTAATAAGATCCTAGAGGTCTACCTAGCATAGCTCATTGTCCCCCAAGAGTTACATTCAGAGATGTTATTATTAGATCTGAAAACTGGATGCAAGTCCGTAAGAAATGGAAATGCAGAAAAGTGATATATTGAGAACACAAGGCATGGACTCTAAGAAAAAAAAAAAGAAAAAATGCCAGGCAAGAAAATAGCGATGCTTGAGAAAGTGAGGCAACTTTTCCGGAGAAAAGCACCATTTGTTACCTGCTCTTTCATACTCCCTCAAGTCATAAAAACATTCAGCTGCAGACTCAAATCTTCCAATAGAATCGAATATTTCAGCAGCCTCACGTAGGTAGGTGAAAGCCTCTTTGGGATTTGAATCACGAATTCGTTCAGCAGCTGCCCTGAATCCAGCCGCCTTTGCCCTTTTCTCCCAATTCTTTTCTCCTGCTTTTTCAAAACACATAATTGCCATCTCATAGTTTTTCTCCCAAAAGAGCTGCATGATAACATCAATGCACTTTATGAGGGTCAAATAATACTGAGAGGTATATATAGCAACACAAGAATGAAATGTGTAACAAATGAATATGGTAATAGCCTCAGATCAAGGAAAATCAACTTGACCTTCACTCCCCTTGACTTCCACTCCTCTGGACTGCTGGAACTTCGCATAGCTTGTGCAAGTGAATCATCTATCTCCCTTGTTTCCACTAGACACAACCTCCTCCAATAGTCAAATATAGGCTTGGAAAATTCCTCTATATTTTCACAAATCCATAACCTTTGCCTAGTTCGAGTTATAGCTACATAAAGCTGCTTTAATTCAGAGCACAAGACATTATGTCTTGCTTCACAGAAACTTGGGAAGGATAAATCCAGTAAACCTTGTTCTTTCATGAACTCATATACCACTCTCCACTGATTTCTAAGCGGCGATGACCCAAAAAAATTGTAAAGCAGCACGTCCTACAAATATAAAAGAAGGAAATGAGATGCTACAGAAGAATTCAATAGAAAAGAGAATATGGTTTNATCCTACAAATATAAACGAAGGAAATGAGAGGCTACAGAAGAATTCAATAGAAAGGAGAATATGCTTTAGCAGAAGATGCAATTCTACTCAGCAGGTTTATCAATGTTTGTGCTCTTCAAACGCCGCATTTGCAATTTACCATTGTTCTGCCTACTCAAATGGACACTTGGTTGAAATATTAGTTAGCTGGGCCATGTCTCTAACAAGAAGTGAGTTCTTGGACTAACCCCTTTCCAACCCTACCCAAAAGTGAAATTAGAATCCTAATGAACCAGGGAGCAGGAAATGTGCCTCAAACCAATCTACACCAAAGATTATGGGAACTCTAAAACTAAGGGCAAATTATGTGTACTCTAAAACAAAGTCATAAGTCATTGATTTGGATCCTTCAAAACATCGAAAACTTGTAAGATATTGAAACTACCTTTCTTTTTGAAATTCATGCCTCTGTCCATGCAAAAATATGATAAACAAGAGGATGAAGGTAGGGGATTACTTATTATACAAGCCTTTGAATAGCATGAGTAAGTGGTAGGTAAAGCTTGCTTCATACTTCATGTACATCCAGAAAGAGACTAGTAGATACGTTAAGCAAACAATCATGCGCAGGAAGTAGTTATGGTTCTTATTAAACTAGCAATCCTACACACAAGTAGGTCGATTATCATTACGAAGAAAACCAAAAAATAAAAAAGAGAAGTTGAAAGACAGTAATAATTGAATTCCTAAGAATAACAAATGAGAAAACTGACTTGCCTGAAACTCCAAGCCTTTGCATTCAACAATGGTCAAAATAAGAGCTTGCCTTCCGATACAACCTGAGATTTCCTTCTTAGCAGATTCATCCCGCACTAGTATGACCTGCTCTGCACCAAAACCTATTATTTTCCCTCCAATACTCCCACTATTCCCAAAAATAGTTATAATTGCATTTTCATCAGCTCCAGGCTTGAGCAACACGGGAGCCTCACCATATATAAGACTAGTCTCAGGTTTCAAGAAATCAACAGACTGAGGGAAATAATGACAAAGCAGATCAATTACACTCTGTGCTAGCTTGAGCACACCAGCATGTGTCCGGAAGTTCTGAATCAACTGAAAAACACGTGATAGATGTCCTTTATCTCTTCTTCCGACAACTTCATCACCCTTTGATTCCATAACAAAATCATTGTAGAATAGATTCCTAATGTCTTCAAACCTAAAATCTATCCCCCTAGCAATTGTCTGTGCTGTATCACCAGAGAATACAAAGCCTTCATCAACATTTCTACAAATATATTTGAAAAGAGCTATTTGTCTCATAGTGAGATCTTGAACTTCATCAATATATACAAAATCAATCTTGTCCCCATCCAGATACTGAAATTTTAGCCGAAGATGAAGATCATTAACTAAATCAGCTAAATCGTATTCACCACTCTCGATCTTCATTTTTTCATAATCCTGGAAAATACTATATATTCTCTCTCTTTGTTCTGCACTTACAGTAGAGACCCGATATTCTGACATTGAAATATAAGTCTCTTTGCTGAGTTTCCCGTCAGGAAAGTCCCCTGCTTTCAGCCCCCCTTTTATATAAGAAAGTATTTCGGTAAACACCCTTGAAGAATCAAGATTCTTGGTCAAATGAGTACTGAAGTGAGGCCAATACAAACTACAAAAGCGATCATAATTGACCTCCTTCTCTCTTATGAAAGTTTGCAAAGTGATTGACCTCAAACTTTTGTCTTCGGAAAGCTCCCACTTCAAATGGAACCTATCAAAATAGGAATGACCTATAGTTCCATCAAGCATCATTAGGAACTTACGAAATGTGATCACAAGAGGGTACTTCACGTACGGGATGTCAATAAAAGAGTCCGGTATATCTCTAAACTGTGACGTTCCATCCAAATCATCAGTTTCGCGCAAGCTGCTTTCAGCTGAGAAACTTTTGCCACAAATGAAGCTGCAAATTTAAGAAAGTTAGCATCAAAGGAGCAGGTTGTACACCTCTTAATTGGATAAAAATAGAAACCTCATTCAAGCTTATAACACAACATTAATTCAGTATGAATTACAGGTCAGAACCAGTAAAAAAGAAACATAGCATAAAGGAAATGCAATTACACGTGTGAAAATCTATGACTCCCCATCTCCAATTCAATTATGCACTCTCCAAATCATCAAGGTTGTAGGAAGAGTTATTATCATGTAAGAACCTTAACTATCATCATTCTTACGTTACTGTAACAACAATCTTCGGTTTGGTCATAGAGCTTTATGAAATTCTAAAAAAAGAAGAGCATACTATGCATTACTAATGGTTAAGACCGCCAACTTCTTTACATTCCAAATATCTTTTTGGACAAAGGTCTAGGAAGTTCAAGGAGAAGATGGTGTTCAAACAATAATAGGTAACCTTTTGCTGAGTTCAGATATGGTTAATAAACTAACTGCTGCTCCAAGGTCACATCATTTTTTCAAACATAGTCATACTACTGCACAATGGTGTTTTGAGTTAAAAGTTCAAAGCACCTAACTTTTATAAATTCATTTGGGTGAGAATTTGCTAGATCATTTAAACATAATTCCAACCATCAATAACCATAGCAACTAGCTCTCAATTTAGATGTACGTTAACAACCATGGAATATGAAAGCATATAAGTAATTATTACATCCATGCTGTAAATCTGAATATGTTTGCTCTTTTTTAATCCTAGTTTTGTAATGAAGCCTTCAACCACTCATTTCTCGTTTTGAGAATATTTTATGTGGTATTCCTTCTCCACTTTTCTCCTAGCTGGCTCAATGATTTTTAGCTTTCCTTACATGTATTCGAGCAACTATACCTGCATCCTCCTACCAATACGCGTACCAGGAAACTCTACTTTCACCAATGCTTAGACACATAAAAGAGATTACTTCGGTTCTTTGCCTATGACAGAATTACTCAGGTCTCACATGGTTTTTCTAGCTTCATTAACCACTAAGTTACAGCACAGAAACTAATTCATATCGTTCTTTCTTCACGCATTATAAACCTTAGACTTGCACTGTAAACTCAGAAAAAAACCAAATAAAACGAAAGAGAATACTGAACCACATTACTTCAAGGATCGTTGCTCAACAAGGATGCAGCTTATTAAAGCAAGCACAGTCCCATCAGGCAACTCTCTGACAGCAGACTAGAACTCACCTTTTCAGCTGAGAGATTTGTTGTTTGACGGCGTAACAAAGTTTAGGACTAACTGTTACGAAAAGCTGGCGCAAGGTATCCTCCTCATTTTCCTCATGTCGTCTAAATCCTATTTCCTCTGCACGCTGACTGGCATCTTGTTTTTCCTTTAATCCTTCGACAGCATTGTGGTGTTGTTGTTCCTTTTGCAATAACTTCATGGTCAAAACTGTTGTTTTTCCTGTGCCTGAGCGACCAAGGATGAAACTGCTTCTACTAAATTGGATTATCTCCCTCTCTTCATTAGTAACTTCAAAAGGGAGATCTAATTCTTCACCATGGTGATTAGAGAGCAAATGGTTGACAACACCAGACGATAAAGAGTAAAATTTCATTAGTAATAAGCTTTCACTGACTCTTGAATTTTCAACATAACTTCTACCATCTATTGCACCAGTTGTTTCATTATTCAATTCGCTCGCAGTAACACGTTTGTACTGAATGATATCACGATAGAGCTTCCAACTCTTTGGAACTTCCAAGTCCCTGAACAAAAGTGAAAATATTAAAGAAAAATTTAAAAGAAGCAATTGCAGCTCATTATAAATTGGAAATAATAGAGCACAAAAGAATCGGTTTACCCCTCAAGACACTTTTCCTTACAAAGACTGATGAATTCATCAGTGTACATTGAAGATATGATATCAAGGCGCCTTGACAATTTTGTGACCTCCTCCAAGGGCAAAATATCCCAAACCCTCAGCACTTGAGTATAGGTGGACTCTTTCTGAATATCAACCGTGCAAACGACATATCGCCCTTCAACCTTAAATTGTTTTACAATTTTAGATGAACTCTCGGAAATTGAGTCCGCATTCCTTTTCTTGGGACGCCATCCACTAGCCAGCTTAACTAGAAGATTTATCACAGACATCCTCAGGCGGGAGGATGCCAGCTTTACAAAGGATTTTCTAAAATTGTCACTGAAGAGTACCTGGCAACCATATAGAAGATAATACAACAACGGCCAAGTAAACTCATTAATACAGGAACCATTACCGTGTACTTATGTGTGACAAATGATACTGACCAAAGTTTTGCACCTTCAATGAGCGAAGCACACACTTACAAAGAATAAACATATAACATGGATCAAGACAGATGTTTCAATTGACTATAACTTATGGGAGGTTGAACACGTTAAACAGAGAACAGTATGTGCTCCAGGAGGAAGAGTCATGGTAATGAATGCTAATGCAAGATGTTAGTTTACAACTGAAACACAATTGTTCCAAATAAAGAAGCGAACCATAAGAAAGACAGCATATACATAACCCATTATGCATCAAGAGATCATACATTAACTCCAGACCCCACTTATGGGAAATTATTGGGCTTCTTGTTGTTGTAGATCATACATTAACTGGTCAAAAAACTGAAATACTACATCAACAAACAATCCGGAGCGGAAAAACACTGGACCCACCCATGATAATACAAGTAGGCATAACAATCCAAACATGAAATATTGGATCCTCAGTTAAATGCTTCTGAGGATGTGAATGTGAATCAAGATCAACTACTAATTCTCTGCACACTTTACTCATTGCAATAAACCACTTTGAGCATGTAACATTGAAGAAGTATACATTCTTTTTGCAGGATAAGTCCCTAGAAAATAACGTTTTGAATTCAATAAACAATAAAATAACAAGATAACGTTTTGAATGTTCATGGTGCCATAACTTCATTAATGTAACATAATCCTTTTTATAACTCGCTCCATTAGACATTAACTGACCTCAAGTCATTGTCAATTAAAAAGCTGTACTTAAGAAGAAAAAATTTAATGTGAAAGAGCCAAAAGCACAAGACATACCTTCCATCTTTGAGATTTGAACAGAATACTCTCTGGATTAAGTAAATCGTCCAGCTGATCATATTCTTTCTTAACATTTAAAATTGTTGTCCTCATGTCATTGTCTTCTGAAGCATGAAAGAAGCACTGACGACTCTTGGCGTCAAGAACTAATGCTTGCCAAACAGAGTTGCTCTCAAGTAACGTTTGTTCATTGCCAAGAATCCAAAGACAGTGCCTATAAGAATAAAACCCTGCAAAATCAGCTTAGAAGAAAATAAGAAGATCCAAATGTGACGTAACAGCGAAACAATTCAATCCATACCGAGCCCTGGTCAAAGCAACATTAGTCCTTTGAAAGCTAGACAAGAAACCGATCGATCCACCACGATTAGATCTCACAGTAGATAATATTACTATATCTTCCTCCCCTCCCTGAAATCCATCTATTGACTTCACCTTAACTTCAAAACCCTCCAGGTTATCATAATTCTGCCCAAGTTTACCTTGTATGGCCAAAATTTGTGCAGAATAAGGTGATATAACACCAATGCTGAGTTTCTTCCTGGAGCCACTCCAAACTGCAAATAATGAATAGAACATAACAACAACATCAAAGAAAACAGAAATACGTGGAAGCTACAGAGAACCTCCCACGGAGTCCCACCCACGCAAACCCAATTAAACATTAATTAAGAGAGGGCCAACCAAATATTTGACAGAGTGCACTCATCACAAGGAAGGAAACAGTAAAGTAAGTTGTGGAGATCTCGCAATTCAAAGATTAAGCGACACAAGCCCAAGTACAAAATCTGGGTTATTAGGTGTTCTGCATTAAAGATTCTTGAATAATCACAGCCTCATTTCCAGATCCTAGTACTTATCAAAAAGACAGAAAAAGAATTCAAGAAACTCAGCCTTTGTTGTTTTTGTCTTTAAAAGGCTTTTTCTTAATTCTACAATTTACATGGTTATAAGTTATAACAAAGTACAATTGGCTATTAACCTCAAAATAGACATTCGCATTTTAGCTCCCAACTGCTGTACATGAACAAGATATATTCACTCAGCCTATGTTTCTTTTGGGTGGTGAAGAAATACAGTTTAAGGATACCCCATGCACAAAACACTTGTTTATTTTTGCTACTTTGAGACTAGACCCTTCAATACCTTGATACACACATCGGTAGCATCGTACACCCACACTTTAAACAGAAGCAAAAAAGTTAATGTTGAGTTTGACAAAGGTACAAATAGTTATCGAGGCAAAAAGACAAAAGAGCATTTCAGGAAAAATTCTAACCACAAAATGGCAGGTTTCATTAGTACGAGTATACCTTTGAACAAGTTATGCACTATCTTCATCCTAAAGCCACTTCAACCATATTTCTTCGACTATGTCCAACATCATCTAGTTCTTCTTTACCCAATGGAACATTTATAAAGGAATATGGACCAAAACACCTTCCCGGAAGATATCTTTTCTCATACGTTTTATGCCTTACATCAGGGGCATCATGAATTTGATTATGATAGAAACTTGAATTTGGAAATTGGCTAATTGATGGATGCATCCGGTACTGTATGTTAAGCAGGTGTTTAAAATGTCCCAGTGAACTGAGTCTTTCAAAAAGGCTCCTTCCAAAGCCAGCTTCTTCAGAAACCTATTTCAGAGTAACAGAATTATGTAAAAACAATATAGTGAAAAGACAATCAGTTGAAATTGCACGTAGAAAAAAGAAGGCAAACTTACTCGACTCTTAACTGTTGCCGGCAGTTGACACTCATCGCCCACCAAAACAGTATGCGTCAGACCTTGAAGTTGGAATGGTATGACAGATTCACACTCCTTCAATTGGGCGGCTTCATCAACGACTAATAAGTCAAATGGCTTGATATCCAGTGAATGAAGCTTATATGAACTAGAAGCAGTGCACAATACCAAGTAAGCCACTTGGAAACAGAACTCCTTAATCGACTCCTTACTCATAGCACTAGGAAGACTCAGTTTTCCAAGTGATTGGCGAACATCTTTTAGAAGACCAAGGCACTGGCTTCTTAAACAACGTAAAGAAAACTCATCCAAAACGGCCTCAGAAGAGACTTCAATTGTTTGCTGAGATGAAAATAGCTCTTCCAGTTCTTTAGAACCAACATTCTCTTTAAATAACATTCCCTCCAAACAATCAAGTAGGGAGATAAGGCGCACCATTCTTTCAAAGTTCTCCTCTTGAATAAAACATACCGGTAGATGGGTACAGAATACAAACATGCATCTTCTCAAAGATGATGCTGTAGAATTAAACCGAGATCTAGCAAAATCAATCAATGAGCTGATTTTTGCTTTTTCTTTTTGTGCTTCCTCTTGGTCAGCAAGTTCCTTCAGTTTGATCAACTCATTCTCCACGTAGATGTGGTACTGAGAAACACAATCTTCTAGAAATCCACTCATGGAACTTATACAGTGTTTCCAGCCAGTCAGTGGTCCCAGGCATTCCACCAGCCTATCGACACGATAATCAAGGTAAATCTCCTCAATATAGTGACCAACTTTTAGCCGGTCCTTATTCCCAACCAAGAGAATATCACCCAAAGGACAAACGATATCCATTTCTGCAGAATGATTTTTTAATGACTCTCTGACCAGTTTAACCAACCGAGAAGCTACTTGTGTTATTGCTACATTTGTTGGGGCACAAGTAAGAGTTCTATACTTCATTCTCAACAGTATGAAGAGCATGACACTTGTAGTCTTAGTCTTTCCTGTACCAGGTGGACCCCATATGAGTTCAATGGAAGGCTTGTGGCAACATTTCAATGTATCAAGAGAGGTCAAGATTGCATTAGCCTGAGAAACATTCAGCGTAGTCAACAGACTGTTAACAACTTCTCCAGCTGGTCCATCATTAATGGATGTAGAACAAACATCACATTTATTCTCGCGCTGTTTCTGCACAAAAACAATGCTTTTTCATTCTGAAATCCACTAAGCGAAACAGATACTGAAAATAGGAAAACACAAGCATAAGTCCAAATTCATAGGAACACTCTTAAGGGAAGAAAACAGCAGTTGAGGCTGCATCTGGTAAAAAGAGTATGTTTCAGCTTCTTTTTTTCCAAGAATGACAACGAACACATTGTTTTTAATTGCCAAAGAGTACATATTTTCTAAAATGAAGAGTAAAGTTTTGGAAACAGAAGAAATGCAAGAATGGCCATTTGCGACCCAGGAGACCAATGAATCAACATTACAAAGGTTTTGGTAAAAGAACATTTCTGAGACAACACAAATTTGAAAACTAACCATCAATAATAGATTAGAAAACTAGACGACATCATCCAGCTGCTGTAAATGGAAAAAGTATAGTACTTCGCACTACATTAAGATCATCACGAGCAACAGATAACTTTTGTCAAACTTTCACACGCTGCCATTCTTCTTCTTTCAATTGTGAAAAAATGCTGATGTCATCCTTGTTATGTATTTTCCAGTCACACTTACGCGACAAGGCCACACATTAACTTGAAAAATATGTCATCAAGCACTAGAAAACAAAGAGGCACCTAATGGATGATGCTTCTGAGAGGAAGTAAAAACACGTAAATCAGCAAGATGTCTTACCGCATGCCCGCTGCACAGAACTTTCTCAATAATGTCCAAATTGTTTCTCATTCCCAGCGCATTCCATACTCTCTTATTTGGTATCGAATTTATCAAAAACACTATATAAAATGATTTTTGCACTCCCTTATAAATTCCAATATCTCTAGCAACTTTGACTTTAAAATTAGTGGATGCATTTAAATCATCGTTCTCATTGTCACTGATATTAGTTACAGATGCAAAGGTCCAATTCCATCCAAGTCGCTGCAGGTCAGAAGCAGTTTCAGGTTTAGCATCTGAGATAATAACAATATCTCCAGGTAATGTTCTGTAAGGCTCTTTCCCATCACTGAATATATGCCTCCAGTAATCAACCTTAACATCAAAAAGTAATGTGCCATGTGGTTTTACTTCATCAAAGGAGATTTATTCGGCAAAAGGTGCTTTGTCTATGACCTCCAAGGAAGCAGCAATATCTGCTCGTGTTTCTTCCAGTAAAAGGAAGAAAAATGAACCCAAGTAATGCTCCACTGATTCAAATGATTCTGGAATCTTCTCCACCTACACAGCAAATAATTAATTAAGAAAGAAGCAACTTATTTTTGCTCTGCATCCCATTTACAAGTTGGCAACAATAATATCTTCTTTATTAAGGTGCTATGACAAAGATAACATTTAAGGAGTCCACTTACAACAACTCAAGATTTTCTCTTTAAAGTTCCAAAACAAAGGAATCTTTCAAAGGGAAAAAGGAACTGTTAAAAGTTAAAAACATTTAAAGAAAATTATCCAATTAAAGTAGAAAGAACAAAGGGGGAAAATGTTTTGTTCTTAGACATCTTAAATCTTATTTCTCTCTATGCTTCTTTTTTCTCATTTCAAATTAAATTCACCTTTAGTTCCCTTTAGATTACTGCTTATAAAAAGAAAATAACAAATGCATACGAAATTACCTACGTTCCTTAATCCATTGAATAAACATGCCCCAAAATGGAAGCAAATATAGCTCAAATAATGAAGCCATAGTTGGATGGTATGTTTGAAATTTGAACATCTGTCTTCAATTTGGGGATAGCAAAGTTCAGTTTCAAGGCTATACGCATTCAATAAACCAGTAGATGTGAAAAATGTATTCAAAGATGAAGAAAAATAGAGACTCATGCAACTTCCTGAATCTTACAGATGGATGATATTTAAAGGAAAAATTCCTTCTTTCCAAATTCCAAACAAAAATATTTTGTACAACCTTAGTCATGCAGCATTATCATTTTGACAAACATAAGTTCCCCAATCACTAAGATGCTAAAACATAAAAGAAGAAAAAGAGAGAGAGAGCATTTTATTAATTACATTATTTAGAGAAGAGCAATATAATCTAAAGAAGCATGGAAAAGAAAAAGTGTACCTGATTTTCATACAGAGTGTCATCAAAAATATTTTCGATAGACCACGAGAAGACCAAATCAATAAAGTCATCTTTAGGCCATGCTCTCTTCTTCTTATTAGTACTAGTACTAGTAGAAGAAGAAACCCCTTCCATCCCTAGCTAGCTCTTAACTCAGATTATCCAAAATAAATCACCTCAATTCTGTTTTACACCTGAAACGTAACACACATATAAGAAAAAACCTCACATGAAGAATTTAAACTATTGCATGCAGCAGAATCCAGATATGAAATTTTTTCTTACACATTGTGCCCAAAAATAAAGGAAACGCAAAAGATGGATTTCTTTGTCACGAAGGAAAAACCAGAATATGTACCAGTACAAACCGCTACCAAAGAAAAGATAATAAAAGGAACAATCAAAACTCTCTCTTTTTCAAGTTAACAGTACTCTTGCTTTCTTTACAACAAATGAGAAGCGACCTAAAGCAAAACACGACTTTTGTACGGAAAAAAAAAAGAAGAGGAAAAGTGGGAGATATTATTAATGCAAATGAAAAGGACGTAGTTCTTGGGAAACCAAAGGGCGGTCTTTTCATCTTCCTGAAGGTCTACTCCTTTTTCCAATTTCTCTTTTAATTACTTTTAGAAGATTAGTAGGTGTAACTTTGCTTCCAGTAGTGTCTTTGAGCAAGTCTACAATTATACGAACTCAAGTAGTAATAATGAAAATAAGTGTCAAAATCTAAACGCTACATAAATAGGTATGACCTATGAATTTCATGTGTTTTGGCCTAGTGTGACCAATAATGTTGGTTCCTTATTTCTTACTGCTGAAATAATTCTCGTGCTTCTTGTACTTGGAACTGATATAACGTTAAAATTTGTGTGTTATGCTACACTTATTTTACGTAGCTAACTTTTTTGTCCAGATGTTCATGCCACCACTACTTAAATTGCTACTCATCTGAGGTGAAAATTCATCTTTCACATTTTTAAACACTTCGCTATTGGAAATATTCATCCTACAATGGCAAATAATCAGAGAGTGAAGATCCCATTATACTAGGGCAGTGAGATTGTGTAGGAAAATAACTTTGTTCGATATAGTTGTGGTCCTAAAACAAGTGTGACGTTGCCAACTTTTCATTAAGAGGATTCAACTTTTATAAAATTAGGCTATATCAAGCTTCTGTTTCAAGCTAAGGGGATTCAACCATTGTGTGTGCGCGTATATATATATATATATATATATATATATATATATATATATATATATATTGAGCTTGGAATATCATATGAACCCCTTACTTCAATGTAGCTCCGCTACTGACTACGATAGAGTAGTATCTCTAATATGTAAAAGAATGGAGGTTAGATCACAGGCAGTAAGACTTTATTGTTGAGTTTAAGTACACCTAACATTGCCTAAGAACCTAGTTCTTTTACTTATTCAGTTTAAACATTAAAGTTGTAAGTGCGAATAAATAAGGAATACAAGAATTTTTACGTGAAAAATTATCCGACTCAAAATGTGCAAAAACCACGACCTATTCCAATAGGATTTAACTCCAAACTATGCTAAAACAAATAAGCCAAAATATTCACATTACAACTCTTGTTCGAAGGCTTAACCCTAAGCCTTCCCGTGATAGTAATAAAACTTATTACTATAAATAAAACTTACAAATAGTAATAGTATTCCCCAATAAAGCAAAGATTACAACTCAATTGTCCTAAAAAACTGAACTAGAACTGGGCTCAAACGAACACAGTATGAATCTGCTAAGGACCAATTGCTCTAGCCTCTAACTGTACGTACATAATCTATTTATTGTGTATAAGTAGGTTAGCTGCAAGACATAAGTAAATTATATATACCAACACATTAGTGAGTAAGCAAGTAAGACAGACAATCAATTAGGAGTCCTATAATTGGAAGAACTACTAAGCCGCGTTCACTTCTTTCCAAAGATAACCATGACTATCTGTATATGTAATCATTTTAGAGTCAAAGAGATTTATCTATGATTACCTCAATCAATCAGGAAAATTATCAAACATCTTTTTCCTAAGAAATCGCACACATAATAAAGGAAACGCAAGAGGTGGATTTCTTTGTGACGAAGGAAAAACCAAAAGAAAATCAACCTCAAGAATATGTACCAGTACAAAAGCGCTACCAAAGAAAAGATAATAAAAGGAACGATCAAAACTCTCTTTTTCATGTTAACAGTAGTCTTGCTTTCTTTACAACAAATGAGAAGCGACCTAAAGCAAAACACGACTTTTAGTTGCTTCCACTGTCTTTGAGCAAGTCTACAATTATGACGAACTCAAGTATTCTACTACTAATGAAAATAAGTATACACAAATCGGTACATGACCCATGAATTTTATGTGTTTTGGCCTAGTGCGACCAATTATGCTGGTTCATTATTTCTTACTGCTGAAATAAGGTTTAGCTTCTTGTACTTGGAACGGACATAGCGTTAAAATTTCATATGTTATGTTGTACTTATTTTACAGAGTCCGGAATCTAAATAACAACTATTTGGACTCAAGAGACCAAAATATGCGGAAAAAAGAGTTGAGTACCATTTTATATATATCGCATATTTTACATGTGTTATAACTTAACGACCAGTTACCCCGTTATATATATATCACATGTAATACATGCGCTACTGTGAATATTATGACTGCCATGATGATTAACAGTACAGTGCATGTACGTGTAGAGCGCATATGTTACATGTGCTATATGGACATTTTACGTGCCTAAGGAATTCATTGTTGCTTACTTAAGGCCGAATGTTCATTCGTGAAAAATTCATTCTTGAGTGAATTTGAACCAATTTGCCTTTGTTCTTCAACATCCTTTATACATCCCTTCATCTTCATCAATATTTACAAAGTTCTCGTTAAATCTTGCTACGTTGTCTGATGAGCGAAAAATTAGGGTTGCATTATATTGGGGCGGTGAGGTTGTGGTGGAAAATAACTTGTTACACTATAGTTATTCTCTACAGTGTATTGTTAAGGTGTCACTCACATTGGAGTACCACAAATTGGTATCTCTGATTTGTAAAAGAATGAGTTTGAGTAAACGTTTGGTTAATCTTAAGGTAACCGGAAGATATCCGTATTCGCTTACTCCATAAGGTGTGGCTTGTTATGCCGAGTTTAATATCGATGACGATGAAATACTGCAAGATTTTTTGAGGACTCCGGATGAACACAGGGATGTTCTTGTGTTAAGCATGCTGGAAATGTATGTAAAGTCCGAAGACGTCAACAATGTTGATGTTCCGCAAACTACGGCTAACACTCAACCATCTGGTGGTATTTTCAAAGTTGTTTTATCCGAACAGGTTCCGTATGAAAGAGTCCGGCCAGATCTAAACTTATTTTCACGGGTTAACGAGAAGTGAGGACATAATTTCTCACCAATGCAGCAACATAGATGATCACCAAGTTTACATAATTCATAGGCCGAGTGGTAAATTATAATTTACCTTGTTGTAGTATAACTATTTATTTTATGTATAATAGTACTAACTCTTATATCGTTCATAGGGGTTACCGGCCAGATATAAATTTTACAAGTTATGAACCAACCAACAGCTAGAATCTACTTACTTTTGGAGCGATAGATCATGCTGGTCCATCATCGAGTCATTAGCTATTTGATAATGTATATTATTGGATATCTACAAATTATGAATGGTACGTTTAAGCGTTAAAGTTAATTTATTATGTTGAGATGTACAAAATATTAATTATTTTATTGGGTGTGAAGTGAAAATGAGCAACATGACGATCTTGTCCTGACTTAGTTAGGTGATGACGATATTTTAAATCAGGATATGGCAGATGCACAGAGTGAGGAAGATGATAGTGATTATGACAACAACGCTAATGAGTCAGGCAATGAAACACCCTTCCCTGATGAGAGCGGCGATGAGGAACTACACTTCACAGATAAGAGTGACAATGAGCAACCAGATTTGACGATAGATCATGATGCCACCACTCAGCATGCTCCGTATATACAGACTTCATCTATCGTTATACCAACGGTGTACGAGTCGCGTGTGCCTTTTTATTCAAGAAAAATTCCCTACCTTGATCAATTGCCAAGTATGCCGGATGTGGATGCCCTTACAAGATATTTGGATGTCATTTGTACAGCAATGTGGGATGAAAGTAGACCAACAGAGCTCTATAAAAATATGCTTTTTAATGACAAGGCTTGCCTTAGTATGGTGGTGTGAATTTATAGCATAAAAACTACTGTGAGATCAAGGCTGCTGAATCATCCAAAAAACATATAAGGCAGTTAATCGTAAATGGGACCAAGGTTGTAAGTGGATGTTGCGTGGGAGAAAGTTGAAAACTAATATGTGGGTGGTGGGGAAATACATTTCAAACATACTTGTAATATGGACACATTCAATGGGAATTATTTTAACTTGAATATTGATTTGACATCCTTTGTCTTGATTCCACACATTGAATCGTCCAAAGGGTACAAGATGAAGGAGTGCATAACATGAGTTGCGCAGGTATATGGATATACCATTACCAAAAGAAAGGCATTTCTCGGCCGTAAACGTGCGTTTGAGATTGTTTATGGCAACTGGGATAAGTCATTTACGGCTCTACCGAGGTACATGGCTGCTTTGCAACACTTAAATCTCGGGACAATTGTTGAATGGAAGAACAACCAGCGTCCTGACATTCCATAAAACATATTAGATATGTGTTTTGGGCATTTAAACCATCCATTGATGGTTTTGTTTATTGTCGGCCGGTAATCTTTATAGACGACACATATGTGTATGGAAAGTACGGTATAAAGATGTTGATTGCCGTTGGAGTAGATGTAATGGCCAAATATTTCTCCTCACCTTTGCTATTTGTGCCAATAAATGTCAAAAGACTTGGATATGGTTTTTAAACCACATGAAGGAGCATGTTGTGAGACAATGTTCATGTATTTGTCTAATATCTGATCGGCACGCTGGGATTTTAAGTTCTGTGCGTGCCTTGGATCAATGGAGAGAGCCTTACGTCTACCACCGTTATTGTGTTAGGCACTTGAAAGCCAACTTCCAGCCGGCTTATCCGAACAAGTGGTTGCATGATATGATATGGATGGCTGCAACAGATCGTCAAGAGAGGAAATTCTTGATGCGGATGGAATTGATTAGGCAGGAAGATGAATGAGCTTATATTTGGTTGAGGGATCTTGAGATTGAGAAATGGACTCTCCATAAGGATGGTGGCAGAAGATGAAGAATTTTGATTCAATGGGTTGTTGAAGTTAGCCCGTGGACTGCCAGTCACTGCTATAGTGCGGATGTGATTCAAGCAGTTGGCAGAGAGGTACGTTGATAGA